CCGGCCACACCAAACAAATGAAGTTAGCGGGAAAGAAACGATCTCAACGATCACTTGCAACCAATGGTGAACGAAATCAAACCCTTACCATCGCTGCAGTCGCCTGTAATTGTTGGTTGAAATTTCTCACGGAGCTGCTGCTACATAGCGCAGCTCTGTCTTTGCTTCGTAGACTCTACCATCGCTTCGCCAACAACCTCAAATTGTAAAGCAAGGCGGATGATTTTTTTCAGGTCCCGCTTCAGGGCACTCCGTTAGCGAACGGTTTAGGGATTGGTCTCTCCACTATCGGACATAAGCTACTTGAAACTTCTCGCAGCGGAGCATCGTGTACGATAACGCCAGTCACGACTCAGTTCATCTCGAATGCAACTATTTGATACAAGAACACAAACCACCTACACCTAGCTAGGCAAGAGAAGGAAACTCCGAGAGAGAGAGAGAGAGAGAGAGCGCTGAAACTCAACCCACCTCCTACAACAACAACGAAGAAAATGAGTCGTTGGGGCGTTCGGACGAAGCTCCGCAGCTGCGTCCTGGTTCCAAGAAGCTCGTAAGCGCTGTGAGATGTGCAGGGGTCATGGGGTCACAGGTTCAGCTCCGGTAGATTACTGCATAAAGAGTTTGTATCCATGGAGATCGTGCGAGAGGAAGACTAGAGAACAGTACGTAGTCGACGTCTATTGGTCAACGTCGGTTGGATTTCTGCGAAAGCACGTGGCAAATGTGACCCGAGTCACTCGAGAACGTGATGCGACAAGTCTCCCACCGCACGCGCGCCGGTGCACCGCGGGCCGGCCGGCAAGCAGTCTAAAAAGCGAGCGTCCACGAGACCACGACCCCAGTGCAAGGGGTTATGATTCATGGCTATAAACTCTTGACTCTTGTTGGTTGTTGGCAACTAATTTACTTGTAGCCGGCCCTGAGCTGAGTGGAATGCCCCAGCGGGCCTCTCGTTTCAAACTAACTGTTACTTTGCGAGTGGCTGCTCCTAGACCTGCTCGTATCACACTCGCGACTACCATGGTACCAGTATTAGACGTGTGGCACATCAGCATCATATCAGTGAGGACTCCTGCTAGCTGCTGTCGATCCCGTCGACGGGCGGACAGGGCGGTGTGAATCCTGGACGGCAACCCGGCGAGCCTGTCGCGTTCGCAGATATCTCAGCGGTAGAATCTACGGTGAGTCTCACCTCGTCATCTCGCTACGCACAACATACTTTCCAGTGGCATCATTATTCTCGCTTTATTGCAATCAGATCCCCTGATGCTCGTCTCCTAATGCCTGGTTCACACTTGGCCGATTTTCCGGCCGATGCTCCCACACCGACTCCGACAAAAAATCGACCGACTGTGTCGGATGAGTCGGACTAGCTGTTCACACACAACGCTGGCCAATTTCGCTTGTACTATAGTTGTATGCTTGTCTGTTACAAACATCAGCCCAATCTGACAACAGGTTTGAATAGGTACAGCCTTATATTTTCGCTTAGTAACACCAGTTTTTCAATTGCCCGAATAGGTCTTGCCAAAAACACAATTTTCCTTGATGACACAAAATAACACAAAATCCCAAAATTGATGAGAAATCGTCCATAACATCAGTTAGGACAGAAAACATGACATAAAATTTTACAGACTGTTCGAGGTATTGACTAAGATGATATCAACACCGAAAAATGTACACTTTGGTTGACGATGGGATCCAGGTCGTCATTTCCTGGAGAAGAACAAAAAGACGCAAAAAATGAAACTTTGAATATTTTTTGCAGCTTATTTTTGAGTTTGCCCCATATGTGGATACTTCAAATACGTTCTATAAGTGGGTTGGAACAGGTTTACCGTGGCGAAAATAGGGGTCACCGTGCATATTCTGGAGAAAAATCCAAAAAACTGTCAAAATTTGCCTAAAATTGGTAAATTCACGTATCTATATTGCTTGTACTTCTCTGCTGCTGCTTTGGTCATAACTTATTGGATTTTTGGCTGTTAGGTGTTGCATAAACTCACTAGAGCCCTCGGCGTTCAGAACAATACAAGGATGGAATAGCTGAACTAGTGAATTTGCCGGAAAACCCTGGGTGCACGCATTATCGATAGGTACTTTTCTCCATGCTTACTCTCCTGTTGGTACTTGGTTTTGATACATGTACAAGTAGCTGTGATAGCGCTTAGCACAGCCCCATTTCAAATTACAATGAAAGCTGACATGTTGGAACGAATCAGACAACATTGAGTCCTCTTGTTCTTCAACTATGCGAGCTAGAACGTGTCCCCACACTGGCAAAAATGATGGTATTTTACGGTGCGCACAAACAAGTGAAGCACTGTGCCACAGGGCGTTCCTTACAGTTGGGTTGCTACTGGTTCTTCGCTAGGTGTTCAGCCACCGCTAATATAATGTTCCTTGAGACTGTCACCCGCTTTTTACCTCTGACTTGCTCCGTCATCAGTCTGGAAATGGCTGGCTCACCACTTCATTCGTAGGACAAGACAAAGTGCTTCATCACCAACCCACTGGCAGCTGCCCGCACTGCAACTGATTTAGAGAAGCACGTTGCTTGGACCAACGGTTGAAGGGTGGCCAGCCGCTTTTGCTGATGTTCTGCAAACTCCATCGCCGAACATGCTGATGCAAAAGTGACAGAGTGCTACAGGATACTGGCATCAGGGCGAGCTTCGACAATTTCAGCTAGGGCCGCAACATCCGCAACAGCATCATGAGCAGCGAACTCATTCCCAACGATGAACTATAAATCAATCTGAGGCTGTAGCTTGGGAGCTCCGGTATCGCGGTTTAGGGATCAGAGTGTTCACCCAGCACAAAACTGAACACCATCGACACACACATCCGTGCACACATACACACACACACACACACACACACACACACACACACACACACACATACACACATGCATGCTCTCACACGCAATAGAACACACGCGCGCGTACACACACATACATTCACGCACGTGTGCGTACCCACCCACATGCATGTGCACACTCATGTGCATGAGTGGAGATGCCCGCATACACATGTCACACCAACATGCCCTGGGAGCGGTCATGCACGTGTGTATAGTATGTGTGCGAGGGCACGTCCACATGAGCGCATAATTATGCATGTGCATGTTCATACATGCGTATGGTGCACACATGCACAAACATGCAGGTCTATGCAAACACACACGCTCGCGGCCGCCGCGCATACAGTGTGCTCATACATTTCCATAGCCATAGGGTGGCAATGACTCGCAAATATCATGAATAAATCTTATGAGATTGAAAAACACACTTACCCAAAGCAGCTTTGGTGTTGCTTGTGGAAGCACGGGGGCCAGGGTGTTGAGCAGTTACAGGGCTATCTGTATCTATAAAATTCTCCATCCCACACTGCTGCCACGGAATGACAAGTACGCTGCCCAGGTCGTACCTCTTCTCTTCACCGCAATCAATGAGCGCCAGAGGTTTGCCACATCCAGGATTCTGGCACGCAGACAATCCCACAGCCAGATACCTGAGATGAACGATTCGTCGACCGTGAAGAGGGGCACTGAACGACCTCTTCGCGGGAGTCGAATCCAGTGGCGTTAGTGGTGGAGATCGCCCTTTCCGTTTTTCAGGAACTCGATCGATCGTTTGAGTTTGCGAAGCGTCCCCCTCCTCGGCTTCTTGCATCGTCCAGAACGCAGAATGAGAGGCGCGTCGTGGGTGACGGATTACTCTCCCGCGTCTTCATCCCCACGACACGTCGGCAGGAGAACCGAGCTATCCAAAAACCGCCAATGTCAAAACAAATCCGCAAGTCCACTAGTGGCTGAGCTTCTTCCTCAAATCTTGTCTCGACTCGAGCAGGCGCTGCGAAGTCATCATCGCGAAGTCATGGGGTCAAACTGCTTGCATGATTGTAGTTTACTGTGCATGATCGCGTCCCATTTTTCCACTCCGAAAGGCATTATTTTTCCACTCCGAAAGGCATTATTTTTCCACTCCGAAAGGCATTATTTTTCAGAAAAAGATTCGGAAATCCAACATGGCGCTAACCGTCGCGAACCTCCTTAAGGCAAAAATTAAAATTTCACCAGTTGTAGTCTTCGGGGTGCTGAGTCGAATGGTCTTGGTCCGAGGGAGCTGAGACGCTCTCTTCCTACTTGAATCCCAATCGAACTCGCGCACTTCCACCGAAACTGGGTGACTGCGCCCTACTAGATGGGGATTTGTATGCAAAATTTCACTAAAAGCGCCATTTCGTTCTTATAAAAGCACGGATGAGCACGATTGGCCCATATGTTGTAGTCTTTTGGACGCTAAATCGAATGGTCTTGGTCCGAAGAGGCTGCGATATAGCGTTCTGCTCTTATTTCCAATCGAACGCGGTACGTGATCCCGTACGGATGCGTACAAAAGACACCGTGCCTGCCAGTGCATGCAGTGCACTGACCGGTCGACCACTGCTGACTGTGCCGGTGCACAGACTCAGATGGCTGCAGTCTGTGAGACTGTGACACGATCGAGTACAATGACATGGCATCTCGATAACGCGATCTCATCAAGAGTTCATGGACTTTGGGTCTATGTTACATAGCCAGCTAGCCAGACGTACATGTCGACGAGGGTGTATGACGGGAAGAGTTCAAAGTGCACTGCCAACAATAGCAATGCACAACTTCGAGTCTTTGTTTGAAGTACATCGCCAACCAAGTCTGAATTCCTTTCGCTATCCTGGTTCATGGCGACGCTAGCAGCTCGGTACCTTTGGTTTGTTTTTCTATTTTTGTTTCCTTCCACCACCGGCAATGCCTGCCTGTGCCGTTGTGGGCTGCGGAAATCGTAGCGGTGGAGGCATCTCCCTTCACAGACTCCCCGCAGAGGCAAAACGACGCGCCGCTTGGGTGAGAGCACTGAGGAGGGTTACGTTGCTCGATACCTGCGCGGTCTGCTCTGCTCATTTTGTACATCCAGACGACTTTATTGCGGATGTGCCCTCGGCTACCACTCCACCAAGGCTACATCTGAAGCCAACCGCTGTTCCGTCCCTCAGACTTTGGCCACACCATCCACCTCCGCCGAAACGCCGGAAGTCTACTTACCAACAGAAAAGGGAAGCAAATAAGGTACGGGCTTTTATACCGCGTACCGGTACCTGATGCGGAATGTGTTTCCGCTCTAGATTATTCTAGTGAAGGAGAAGTGAAGCACTGTGACTGTTATACAGTGTTTCAGTTCGGCACAGACAGTACCTGATCCATTGTTACTTGACTAAAGTCTGTGGTCAGAATAACTTGTACTTTTCACCAAAACACCACTACCGGTATGCAGATCTTAGGATGCATGTGCTTTCAGAGTAGCCAGAAGCCAAACTAAACTTATACGCTGTAGATAATTATACTGTATATAAATATCGGCGAATTGCTTGAAAAGGCCTATTCGGACTGATGCATAATGCTCGGCCATAACTCACGGCGGCATACATACCAACTGCATAGCTGGCCATAACTGCAAACAATTTCAACAGTTGCCTTTACCATGTTGTTACAGATATCGCCTCAAGCAGACAAGCAGCCGTCAATTTCTCAACATCGAGTTCAGCCCCCCATAGCCTCTGCAACTGTCACAGCCACGGAATACCCAACTATTGAGCTACAAGACCATGATAGCATTACCAAGACGGCGTATGCAGTGAGCAGTGCCAAGGTAAGCGAGTCCCTTGACTTTCTGCGACCGATTATCTGAGTATTGGAGTTATTTCCAAAGCCCACATGTGCATGTGCCCATCTCTGCTGATTGTCTACTTTGAAATACAGTCAAACCTCATTAGGACGAACACTGATAAGGCGAACTTTCCTTTAGTACGAACTAGGGCCAATCCTATGGTTGGCCAGGCATCAGTATCAAGTCAAAGTTATTCGTTCACGACGAACTCCTGTACGGCGAACTTTCGTGAAGACGAACTAATTTCAAGGGTGATTTGAACAGAATCAGCGTGCAGTATGAACTTTCAGTCCCCTTGAGTGCGCTGGCTGTAATTTTTTTTCCGATAATTGAGGCATCTTGTTCTGGCAAAACATGTTACAAGGCGGAGGACATGCTGTCATGAAGTCACTGCACATCATGTTGTACTTACCTGTTGCTGGGTTATGTTATGAAAACAATGTCTTACAGTTTGCCACAGCATGCACCTTCACATAAATACAATCCATAATATGCATATCAATTTTTTGTCAGGTCTGGATAATACGAATTCCGGATAAGACAAACAAACTTGTTCGGTCCCTTGAAGTTCATCCTAACGAGGTTTGACTGCAGTACAATAAATACAAGTTTATAATGCCCCCACAAATGGTCTGACCACTCGCTTTGAGGATGGTATGCGTAGGGTTTTCTGTGTATCTTCAGAAGAACAAAATGTATACTTGAACAGTACGTATAGAACTATAGGTAGAGTACAATTTGCTCATCCATTCTTTAACCCTTTATTACCGGCCTGCAGACTTTCGATCATCTATGATCGAAAGTCTGTAGGCCAGTAATATCTTCGTAACTCCATCATTTCTTGTGCCAATTCAACAATCGAAAGGTCTATTTGGTAGCGGAAACTCCAAGCTATCCAATGCAACAATCGCCGAAGTGTTACGATGTCGGACGCCAGAGATATCGCGCGCCGTATTCTCATCTCGGCAAATTCAAATTTTTGATCGATCACTTCGCCATTTTTGGGGAAACTCCCTTTTCGTGTGCTCTTTGAGCGACTGAGCACATGATAATAACGTAGTCGGCTGAAGTTTGAATCGTCTCAAACAAATTTGAGCGTTCTGCGATGAAGGAGAGTGGAATGGCGTTGATGGGACGAATTTGTTTGCATATCAGGCTTGGAGACGACTTTGCTGTGTTACCGCGCCTGATTTGTGGCGACTGGATAATGGAGCTTGGAGCCAAGGCGTTGCTCTCGCCAAGAGCTTTCCAACGAGCCCTAGATTGTGAAAATCAAGTGAAGGAGACCAAAGTTATGACCTGGTGAAGTTGGAAATTGTGCTGAAATTCGTAATTCTGGTGCATGCTGTGCAAGTAATCCGGTAATAAAGGGTTAATATTGATTTGATTCTAATCCCCCACATGTGATTCTCTACTTTTATAGGTGGGCATGATGGGAGCTGAGTCAGGGAAGAAGAGGGTGGTCTCGGGGAAACAGTCACTGGCATCAACACTCTCCAACCATCTACTCCCACCAAAGCGGCACCTGGTGTCCAAGTATCTAGCACAGAGACTATAATATCGAACTTATCAGAGTATGTGCCAGGCACTGAAAGTTCCGACTCCCACAGCGAATCTGATAGCTCTCCTCCAGCCAGTGACACATCACCTGAAGACATGTACTTTGTCTGTGAGTCGTCCCTCTTTACGCTAATGAAGTATTGCCCCAAGTGCGGAGGGAAAGTTATCAGTCAAAGCAAAACCGTAGTTGGTCCCATGCTAGTGGTGAAGATGATATGTGAGCAGGGCTGTGTCGTCATTTGGCGGTCGCACACCACCACGGGGAGTCAACGACAGTCACTGTGTGAGTACATGTATTTCTGGTATTTTCTGGCTTCCATTTCTCTTAAGTTAAATCACCATTTCTCCTATTACTGAAACTTGGGTTGGTTTTTGGCACTGCATATATTTGGGTGGGAGGAGAATTCAGGAGTTAAAAAAAAGCATGGTTCATGGGAGAGTCAGTGATGTTTGGGATTTGAGAGCTGCATGCTGAAATCTTATCGAGACAAACAAACAATATACTTCAGTACATGAAGTTTAAGTGACTGGCACATCGTGATCAAGACAGTGATAGCTGTGTGTACTTGAATCTTGGCACTTTGCACTGCAGGTTCTGTTCTGCTTGTAGCAGCCATCCTTCTGTGTGGCGGCACCTACAGTAAATTCAGCAAGTTTGCTGAATTTTTCCACCTGAAATTCATGTCTGCAGTCACTTTCTATTCAATACAACAGAAGTTTGTATTTCCAGTCATCCAAGCGGCATGGCTTGCAGAGCGTACACGTGTTCATTCACTTTTGTTAGGTAAGGTGTCTTTGCTACCTGTATGTGCTATAGTATACAAAACTGTGTGGCATTGTTGGATTGTCTGTGTTGTAACTGAGAGACAACAGTACAGGAGAATCTGCTCACTGCCTTGGCCAGCGAATATTACCGGCATGGGCCATGCCTACTTAAAACCCCATCAGTATTTCTAGCTGTTTGTGTTCACAACCAGATTACTGGCACTTGGGAGTACAGTCAACTTTGCTAATAACGACTACGGAATAACGACAATTCGCGAATAATGACAGAATTCCCATGCCCAGAGCAAAGTCAAATCTAACTGTATACATTATAATGAGACTTCGCGAATAAGGACACTTCGCGAATAAGGACACATTTCTGATGCCCTGCCGAGTGTCGTTATACGCAAAGTTTGTCTGTACTTGGGACCGGTGGATTATGCTCGAAAAGGTGGCAGATTCTGCTCCAAGAGCAGTGAAATTGGCAGAACCATACAAACCTTATGGCGGGCAATTCCTCGAATTCTGCTCCATTTCTTTATCCACATACCAAACCTGCATGAAACTTACCAGAAAAAGTACCGAATTCTGCTAATTTTTCTGCCGGCAGAATCCGCCGGACCCTAGTCTGTACCCACACCTTGTTGATGAGGAGGAGGACAGTTTCTGCATATTTTGTCTTTGCTATGCTACGCTGTAGGCAGACAACTCACTGTAGCTGGCGATGGCAGGTGTGACAGCCCTGGGTATTCCGCACGATTTGGGACATACACCTTTATGGATGTTGCATCTGACCTAATTGTTGATTACCATCTGGCGATGTCCACAGACACAACCAGTTCAGTGGCAATGGAGAAAATGGGATTCGTTGTTACACTTGACCGTTCAGTGTTTGGAGCAAGGGTTGAAGGTGTGTACAGATTGGATATATTTCCTTATTTTAAAACAATGTGCCACTTGCAATATCATTTTGAAGTTCTGCTTGTTTTGATGATTTATGACCCTGAGGAAAACACCCACAAATCCTACATTTCTCTCCTTTTATGTGTACATTTACGTGCTTCGTCCCCTTCTCCAGATTGCCACTGTTGTCACTGACCGGAGCCCCAGCATAAAGAAGGAGATGCGAGGACGCCACTCCATCAAGCATCAGTTTGATGTATGGCACTATGCCAAGAGTGTCGCATCCAAGATCAGGGCAGGATGCAGGAGAAAAGACCAGCAGGCCTTGCTCGAGTGGTTACCAGCCATCAATAACCACTTGTGGTACTGCGCCCGGTCGTGCGGAGGCAATGCCGTGCTGCTGCGTGAAAAGTGGAACTCAGTCCTCTACCACATCGTCAACCGACATAGCTGGACTGAGGGTACACTTTTCACGCAGTGTGCACATCCTCCACTTTCCACCGATGAGCAGCGACAGAAGAAGTGGCTGACACCAGGTCAGTAAAACGTGAAAGTTATGTCACTATCACTATCAATTTCAATAAGTAGGGCTGCAACGGGTAGGGGTTTGGCCGGGTAACGAGATTGGGTATTTCTATCCGGGTAGCATGGGCACCCTATCAGGTATTTTCTTGACATAGTTTGTACATTGAATGTGCACTTGCGCTACATAGACAGTGTACACTGCAGGTATGCTTCTTTTTTTTCATGCACCGTTGCGAAAACTCCGTACTCCAACTACCCGATCGGGTTCTCAGGAGTAAACTGGTACCATAATTAGGGGTGAAACGGTTACCCTTCGAGGTTACAAACGGGTACGTGGCTTAACGGGCGGGCTATCGGGTACCCTTTAGCAGCCAATAGTAACAGTTGCTATACAATAGCCTTTCGCATTTCGTGCCAGGAGGACATGCGATGTCATGCAATTCACAGCGAATGCACTACATCGCGACAACCGCAGCACGCCCACTTACTGCGCTACATGCAAAACAGTCCAAATTGTCATATGTAGCAGGATCAAACTAGCAACAACACATTCAAACTGTACATCGAACTGTACAACTGTACAAGCCAGCTAATTATAACGTACCATACCGTCGTACACGACTAACGGGTACTCGTTTGCTAACGGATCAGCAGCTAAACAGACGGGTACCCGGGTTACCCGGATCACCCCTTTCACCCCTAACCATAATACCCACTCTATTTACGGGTAGCACGGGTACCCTACTACTCGATGACACCCCTATCAGTAAGTCATGCATGAGCACTACAATTTCTGAGCATCTCACGCGTACGTATACACTTTTACCCACGCACACAAAAATTAACAGTAGACCAGCACTAATAGATTCTGATTCTATATCTTTCTGCCTTTCTTAGGGTCTCCAGCGTACAAAGTTCTGGAATCAGTTGTCCAAGACAAGAGACTGCTGGCAGATTTGATGCGCTTGTCAGATTTTCAGCACACTGGAAACGTAGAGGTAAGGAGGAAATAGACCCTTGATGCATCACTTTCACTTACAAATATGCAACAGTCCAATGGAGGAAGGTCAGTTATCCAAACACCTATCATAACATAGACCGATCATCGAAACACTGTGCTCATATTGGGAGTGGTACTAAAATATTGACTCCCTCAGCATTGCACTGTGTTCCCATAACATACGTAAGTTCTGTCAATAATTGACATAAGGAGCATATCAGTCAAATCCAGGTATCAGTGACCTGAATAACTTTCTTGTTCGTCATGTGCATGCAGGTGTACCATAGCATGATGACGAAGTACATGCCGAAGCGGATTCAATTCAGTAGAGAGGGAATGGAGGCCCGAACCCAGCTTGCTGCTCTCGACCATAACTTCAATGCTGGCAGAGAGCAGGCAACAACATCAACAGGACAGCCACAGTACAAAGTCCAGTTTTCTCGAGTGAAGGGTGATTTCGTTGCCAAAAAAATCTACAGTGAAAAGAAATACGGATGCATGCACAGCATGATGCAGCAGGTCAGTGATGTGGCCACGAAGAGGCTGACAGTCCCAGCCATCCAGAAGTGTAAGCCTGTCAACGTGTCGCGACGCGGGGCCCCAGTCAAGGCAACAGTTGTCGCAAACCTGAAAACAAGATTGGCAATGGCAGCAACAGCAGAATCACCATCAGTTGCAGCAGAGGAGGAGGAGGAACAAGAAGAGTACGAAGTAACGTTAGAGGAGGATGCAGGGTATGTGGAGGAGGAAGAAGAGGACAGCGAAGATGAAGGACAACAGTAGTGTGTTGTTCAATGTGATGTTCCCACCCAAATATGAGCACATGGCAACACAGCTGGTGCGTGTAACCAATGTGCGTACTACACAATGCGCAGCACTGAGTTTGAATATGGCATGCGTTTATTTATCGTTCCATGACGGATTTTTTTACATGGCATCAATATAATTATTATATTCCTTCAAGTCCAACTTTGCTTAGCAATTGAACAGCCATCTCTAACATAATGTTAAAATATCCACAAGTGTCTTCACTTATGACTCAGCTTCCCGGATGCACCAGAGCTTGTGCTGTGCTGCACTGCGCTTGTTGTCGCCACTCGCCTATTTCCACATGTTTTAAGACAGCCTCTTGAACGATTCTCGTTTTACCTTACCTTGTTTGTGAATATTTATTTATTGTCCTCCGAGTCATATTGGTGCGAACGCACACCTGGAGATGCTCCAGTCTACAGCCATGTCGTAATGTATTCTGTTATTACGAGCATCCATGCTATTGTTCTACAGAATTCAAGGTTGTTGTTCCTCCGAATCGTTTTTCCGTTGTGCACGAATGTGGAGTGTGCCACTGTGTGAGTGTGCTTTCCCTTTAGTGAACTTTTCTTGAAGTAGTAAAAATAGGTAAGATGCAGTTCTTCAGTATTGCAGCATTGATTCCAAAATGCCCATCCTACAGGAATCCTAGATTGTTCATTGTTTATATTGAAGTATACAGAGAGAAGGCAAGTCATTGCTTACCTCATAAAAGTTATGGTGTCAATCTTCAGGCCACTGAGTAGCCTCCTCATCTCTGGCTTCTTCAAACCCATGGTACGGTACACCTTCGCAGACAATTATCACACACACACACACACACACACACACACACACACACACACACGCACACACACATGCACGCAGGCATATCCGCACCCAAACCGTTCATTCATTTATATTCATAAGTTGATATCTTCAAGTTCAACATACTTCAAGGCAATGGAGTTTCCACATTTCACTCGTATTTGCATTCACTCCATAAAGTGACATCAATGCTTACCTGGAGGGTTTGGAAAGCACTGACGTATTGCTCCCACAAGGCAGGCTGGGATACGACATCTTACACCACGACCCATTTTCCCATGGATCATCCACGTTACCTGTCGGTAGGCAGCATATCTGAATGATCTGGGCAAAGTACACAATATTCCATCCATCATGACTTCACGAAAGTGGACTGAATAGCACATCACACTTTCACAGAGTCCAATCCCGTCTAAGAAGATAGATACTTCTGTCACAGCTTTTGGCAAATCTCAAAGCAGCTGACTAAGCCATCTTCGTTTCCAGTACGCTTTGGCATCCATGTCACGGGCGTCGGAAAGTATTTTCGTGTGATGCGGTCAGCCACCTGAAGTACAATTTACTAGGGTAGGAGGGGTTGCTGAGGTGAAACGTTTGGAAATTTAGAGCACAGGTCAGTGTATTTTAGTGATTCACGGGGTGGACGTCCCTGCACGTACTAATGATACTTCAAACGTTCATTCGAAGTTTCCTTTTCAAATATTCTCGGATCAGTCTGTCAGATCCAACAAAATAGAATACAGCGGTTACTTTCTTGTTACAGCTGTTACATCCCTACTATACATGCATGTACATTAGTTCTGCCAGCGTTCAGCCAACGATGTCCATGTACGTACCATTTGCAAGAGGTGATTGATGCCTGGCTGCACTCCGTTTTTTCTAGTGTTCTTACAATTATTTTCTACTGCATTCTCCCATGCAAAATGGAGCAAATCAGGTCATCATTTGGATCAAATTGTCATGTTTACCAGTATTTCTTTACCATTCTAGGCACGAAGCAGGCAGCCGCACTCTGAGACCACCGTCACTGATGACAGACCAGGGCGAGGTACCTGGTTCAAGCCCTGTTTGGGACAGGTTTATCCAGCCGCGCTGTTAGTGCCACCCACAGTGAACTGTTACTGAGAACTTGTGGGTTGTGACCAAACACCGAGTTCACCCCACTCCTCCCAAGACCTTTTTTTTATCCGTACATCTACACACCACAGCTAAAGCAAGATAAAAATTGAAGTTGAACTCACTCACCTATTGTCAAAATGTGTCGGCGGCTGGTTACAGAGCTGCTTGGTCATGTCCAGGTATCCGCGCAAGGCGATGGTCAAAACGTGTTTATTTAGGCAACCGGTTTTGAATTCCTCTGTCTCAGACACGCACTGTTCGGTGCTGTGCCTGAGAGGAACTGCAGCACAGCATCCACTTCACGGCAGCATATGCAGTCCAGTCTACACTCCATCTGCACGCAGCATGTACATTCACACCAGGAACTGTTGCCGACTCTGGTGTGGGGAGGCCAGGCTTCTTCGACGCTCGCAGCAGCAGCAGCAGCAGCAGCAGCTTCCTCCTCGTTTTCAACGTGCTCATCGCCACCGTCACGCAAACTCTGGAGCTCCTCGCTCGTGTACTGTGGCTCCCTGGCATATGCTAATACATCGACGGCTTCTGTACGCGAACTCGTCGGGGTCTCCCTGCCAGCCATTTTCGAGGTAAACGAATAGCAAACGTAGTGGCAGCAAAAATAAAACTCACAGTGCTGAGCGGCTATAGTGTCACCATGAAAAAGGAAAACGAAGGGCATTTCACACCCAGATTCAAAGCAGTTTTTTTTCTGAAGTGGAAGCAAATTTTTGAGCTCCGCAGTTTTTCAGTCTCTGGCAGCCCGTCGGCGTGGCCAAGAGGACCACTAGCAGTATTAGTTAGTTAGTATCGTGTAGTAGGGCTGGCCCACCTCTGGCGGCCATGCCCCCAGCTACAAAGGCCGCCCTCAAGGGGCTCTCAGAGGTAGAGACAAAACTGTTGTGCTCCCATGTGCTCCCTCCCGGGTATCGAGTCGTCTGTGATTGAGGTTATCACTTGAAGACCCTGGCGAACTTAGCGTCCGAGTCGGCCGATCGCGAGGATCGCCTCAACAAAAGAATCAATGACCTGTCGCGGCAAGTGTCAGGCCTGACTCAGGAAGTTGTCTCCCTCAAGGAAGCCGCCATTGCCAAGGCAAGTGTTCTCCCAAATATTCAAGCTCCTCAGCAGAGCCAGCGTACGAAGAGTAGATCTACGAAATCGTCAAGAAATCGTACCCGTACCCGCACAGGCCAGGCTGCCGCGTGCACTGCTAGTACGGGTGAGCCCCGTAGCGTGGGTGACACTGGCAGTGACCCTGAGGCGTCCGGTGAGGAAGACAGTAATTCTGAGATCATTGACATTGGCATTGAGGGCCCCTACAGCAGGAGCGCTAAACATCGCTCCAAGCCAGTCCTGGAGGTCTTAGACGACGACAGCTGGCAACTGGTGTCAGGAGAGCCTCCCAGGTCCAGGAGGGCAGTTTTGTATGTAGGCAATTTAAGCTCAAGCTGTACTGAGGAGGGACTGAAATGCTTCACCCGCCAGCGTGCAGTTGCAGCAGGGGGTACGGCAACGGTGCACACTTGCAGCCTCCACACCACGGAGGCAGGAAGAGTGTCTGCCCACCTAACTGTGGACGCTAAGGACCTCACCCTGGTCACAACTGAGAATTTCTGGCCAAGGCCCCTGTACGCGAGGCCATGGCGATTTAAGGAACGCACTGAGCAGCAATCCAAATGATTCCCCCAAGCCTAACGCTCCTGCTGACAAATCCCTTCGGACTGCAATCCAAACTTGGTGAGTTCCAGCACACTGATGAATCGTCTGGTGCCCTCAAGGGATCGTCTAGCATGCACGATGCCCAGTAGCCAACCAACGATGTTCAGACTCTTGGTGACGAATGCCTTTGGCCTATCGTCCAAGCTTGCAGAATTCCGCCACACCCTCCAGACCCTGAAGCCAGATATAGCAGTAGTCACAGAGACAAAATTTACGCCAGAGAAGTGCAGCGAATCTGAAGCAGCCATGCCTGGCTATCACACCCCCATCCGCAAGGATCGCTCTGCACACGGTGGTGGAGTAGCAGTCTGGGTGAAGGCTGGCCTAGGATATGAACATCTTGATCACATCCAGTGCCATGATCACGAGATCATCTGGCTGAGTGTCACGACGCAGAGTGGACAGAAAGTTGTTATCTGTGCAGCCTATCGGCCCGGGTCCTGTTCGGAGACAGATCTCCAGCTATTGGAATACTTGGACAACACGCTGGAGGCATCCCGTACCTACGGATCAAATGTCATTGTGACCGGCGACTTCAATGTGCATAACGCTGCCCGGCTCTGCAGCAACAAGACCACCCGAGCTGGAGAGTATGCAGAGGATATCTGCTGCTACCATGGCCTGAGTCAACATGTCGACGTACCCACCCGAGGTGATAACACCCTGGACCTGGTGATGTCTGATTTCCCTTCACCAGCAACTGTTAAGGCACACCCGCCTATTGGACTCTCTGATCATGCTGTCCTCCAAGTTGACTTTCCTGTGAAGCTCACCCGTGAGCCCAAGACATCGCGTAGAGTCTGGCGATACCACCGCGCAGACTGGGAGCGGCTTGGCCACTTCTACCGAACAACAGACTGGGAGAGCATGCTCGGACCTGAACCGGATCTCAGCTGCGACAACATCACCAAGAGGATCCTCGAAGGAATGGCACAATTCATACCCAACAGAGTTATCTCATCGCGCCCCTCCGACGAACCTTGGTGGACACCGGAGTGTACAGCTGCAGTCAACACCAAGCGACAGATGTGGCACCAGATGCGCTCAAATCCCGACAGTGCTGATAAGAAAGCACACTACCGCACAGCTGCAGCCTCTGCACGCAGTACCATCCAGCGAAACAGAGAACGGCATATTACCATGCTCCGGCAGAAACTCACCACTGGTAGCCTTCGGGACAAGGAATGGTGGTCCACTATCAAGCGTGCGGGTGGCAAGGGCCGCAGCGCTGATATACCAACACTCCGATCTGCTGATGGAACTGAGTACACAACCAGTCAGGAGAAGGCCAAGTGCCTTGGTCAGTACTTCGCCGATAAGTGCAGCCTCGGCCCACAGGACTTCAATGAGGAATCTGAATTCCCCTTTGTCCAGCCTCGCTCCCAAAGCCGTCTCCTAAGTATTCGCTTCCGCCCTGCTGAGGTCCGTAAATTGCTGAGGGCCCTTGATCCTTCGAAAGCGTCAGGCCCTGATGCAGTTCCGGGCAGAGTCCTCAAAGCCAACGCTGAGCACCTTGCAGTGCCACTATGCTTGCTCTTCCGCCAGTGCAGGACGTCGGGGACACAACCACAGTCTTGGAAAGTGGCAAGTGTCGTCCCAGTCCATAAGAAACGGTCAAAGTCAGCCCCATCGAACTATCGGCCCATTTCCCTCCTGTCGCTCATCTCCAAGACAATGGAAGCAGTTGTTAACCGTGCTCTCACCAACTTTCTCGAACGAAATAATATACTCTCAAACCACCAGTTCGGTTTTCGTCGAGGGTTAGGACCTGCTGATCTCCTAACAGGACTACACCACCAATGGAGCAAGATAGCAGCTGCTGGCGGTGCTGTACGTATTGTTGCCGTCGACATTGCGGGGGCCTTCGATAAAGTCTCCCACGCAGGTGTCCTTCACAAGGCAAAGGCTTACGGAGTGTCCGGGAACCTCCTCAAGTGGCTCCACAGCTACCTGGCGGATAGACGAATCCAGGCCGTTGTGAGTGGACAAACCTCACCTAAATTCCGAATCAGCTCAGGTGTGCCGCAAGGGAGCATACTGGGCCCCACTCTGTTCCTCCTATATGTCAATGACATGGAGGACCACCTCCCAGCCACAACCCAGCTCGCCATATATGCAGATGACACCACGCTTTATCAGTGCATCCCATCCCTGACCGCTCTCCCAGTTGGCCTAGCGCAGCTCCAGACTGCTGTGGATGCCTTAGCTGAATTGGGCCAGAGCTGGAAGATCGCATTCGAGCCGACAAAGTCGCAAGTCTTGACAGTTTCGCATCACCGTCAACCCTGGCTGATTCCTCCAGCCACCTTCAATGGGGTGGCCATAGAGGAAGTGGAGGAGCTGAAGTTGCTCGGAGTGCTCTTTGATCGGAGCCTCTCCTTTCGCTCCCACATTCGACAGGTTGCAGTCCGTGGTCACTAACGTCTTGGCTTCATGAGGAAGGCCCTGCCCATTCTCGACAGCAAGGCCAAGTATGCAGTGTATCGCGGCTTCGTCCGCCCAGTACTTGAGTACTGCCCGCTTTCATGGTTGGGTGCGTCCCAGTCTACCCTGAACCAGCTGGACCGGGTACAGCACCGAGCCCTAAAGCTCATCGGCCCAGGGTCATACCTCCCAAGCCTCACTGTTCGGCGTCAAGTCGCAGCACTCACATTCCTGTACAAGCTGCATTGGATCGACGGTCCCCCAATCCTGACCACCATGACACCACCGAGGGCAGTTGCAAACCAGCACCGGCGCTCCACTCGCCACCAGCAAAAGAACCAGCACCAGCACCAACTAGCACCGACACTGCCCGCCGGAGCCCGTAATAGTGCTCTCCGATCATTCCCCCATGCCACGATCCAAGACTGGAATCGTCTCCCATCTGCCCTGCTACGCAACCTTCCCACGCAGAAGGGAATGCAGGCATTCAAGGAAGGCGCCTACAAGTCGCTCCGCAGCCGAGACTGGCGTTCAGCCACAGATGCCCTCTGAACACTCCCTGAACACCCTCTCTGCTTGCACCCTGGCTCCCCCCTTTTTATTTTTTTTATTTTTTATTATTTTATTTATTTTTTATTTATTTATTTTTTATTTTATTTTTTTCTTCCTCTATCACATGTATCATCTCTCCGTTTTTCCTTCCTCTATATAAATGTACCCCCCTCCCCTCCCCCTGTGCCTACTCCTCCCCAGTTTTTGGTGCTCTGAAGTGTCGCTGAAGCCGAGACCTCAGGTCGGCGGAGATGCTCCAGTTTTCACCACCACAGTTGCGTCTGCAACCACCTCTACCATGCAGTATTCTGTTCTCGAGGTTCGTGGCTTCTCGTAAAAATAAAAAAAAATAAAAAAAAGTGCATGCAGTGCAGTGCACTTTGAACTCTTCCCGTCATACACCCTCGTCGACATGTACGTCTGGCTAGCTGGCTATGTAACATAGACCCAAAGTCCATGAACTCTTGATGAGATCGCGTTATCGAGATGCCATGTCATTGTACTCGATCGTGTCACAGTCTCACAGACTGCAGCCATCTGAGTCTGTGCACCGGCACAGTCAGCAGTGGTCGACCGGTCAGTGCACTGCATGCACTGGCAGGCACGGTGTCTTTTGTACGCATCCGTACGGGATCACGTACCGCGTTCGATTGGAAATAAGAGCAGAACGCTATATCGCAGCCTCTTCGGACCAAGACCATTCGATTTAGCGTCCAAAAGACTACAACATATGGGCCAATCGTGCTCATCCGTGCTTTTATAAGAACGAAATGGCGCTTTTAGTGAAATTTTGCATGCAAATCCCCATCTAGTAGGGCGCAGTCACCCAGTTTCGGTGGAAGTGCGCGAGTTCGATTGGGATTCAAGTAGGAAGGGAGCGTCTCAGCTTCCTCGGACCAAGACCATTCGACTCAGCACCCCGAAGACTACAACAGGTGAAATTTTAATTTTTGCCTTAACTTCCCCTTTAAGCCTCTTATACGGGCAATCACAGAACATGATTTCACTGGCCTGACCGCGGCAACAACTTTCATGAGAGGAGCCATTGGAGTAAACATCCACATGGTTCACTGATTACCTGTGCATTAGAGTGGATTCACCTTTCTTATCCTTGACTATTGTGTGTGTGTGTGTGGGGGGGGGGGGGGGGGGGGGTGTATGTGTTTGTGTTTGTGTG